CTATCCTCTGGAAGCCCACACAGGAGGATACAGAGGCTCCGTGATTCCAAGATCTCAGGTGATGAGGTACCAAAGTCTGAGCTGTTGACTGCAGGCTCTCCCACTTCTCCCTTTATTGCATCAGTTTTGGAGATCAGAAATGAAGGATCAAAGAGTTTGAGAAGCTTGGCTTAAGATGATACATTAGGAGGTTGTCAACTCTATAACCAGTGCAGTTTTCACTACACTATCTAACTTAAGTCAAGGAAGGGCAGACTGGCAGTGTGTTTGGTCAGTGCCATCAAAATGGAAAGTGACCACTAGACTGGGTCATGGAAGCCATGGAGCATTTCCTAAAGTCCATCTCAGTGATGGATGGAGTGATGGATGGAGGCCAGGGTATGAAGCCTTCAGGAGTGGGTGGCAGGCAGGACTCTGCGAGATACTCACAGGAAGACTGAAGACAGAAGGAGAGGTGGAATGTAAGTGTCTCTAAAGAATTCATCTGAAGAAACCTGCAGATAACTGTGCTGGTGGAAAACCCAAATATGGCGATAGAAAACTGAACCTGAAAGCTGGCAACGTCTCCAAGCACAGGCAACCAGGAGGGGGGCGTGGAGACAGCAGACCTTCACCTTGCCTCATTCTGTCAGCATAACCACAGACTCATCAAGGAATGGCTGCTTTGCTATTAACGGTCTGGAAAACTGAATGACTATAGCAATAGTGAAATCAAATCTTACTTATACTCTAAGAAAAACAAATATAAACCAGTTGGAAGCATCCTACTCTGATAAGATTTAGCCAGAATGACAATTTACTGCCAGTAACAAGATAAGCTGGCAGGATTGGAAAACAACAAACTACACATGCTCCTAGAGGCTTGTACTGTCTCATCACACATGTCTGTTTCAAGAGTTCCAGTATGAAAGGAAGCTAAAGCACAAAGATGTTCACTGCAGCTTTGCTTGGGATGTAAAAACGGTACACAAGCTACATGTTCAGTAGTGATGAAAAATCTACACAAACAATGTACAGCCATTTGATGGGAAATAATTAGTTTACAACACTGTTTACAAGGACATTGCAATTTTCAAACCATGTTATATATGCAGCGGGAAATGAGAAAAGCAGAACAAAACATTCTGCTATATGAAAGCAACTGTGTAAACAAACCAACAATGTTAAAAAGATCTTCTGTGTTTGCCTGCCTGCTACTTCAATAATGAAAAGGAAACTAAATGCAGAAAGATCTCCGAGGCTGGCTGCTGAGGAGCAGTGGCTGACATGACACCGAACACTTCCTTTTTTCCATGCTCACTTTTTCGTGTCTTTGGCATTCTGGTAGTGCATAAATTTCCCATAAAGAAATGCAGGTGTTCTACTAAAAATGCATAAAGTGAGCCCTCCAGATAACACATCAAGAAAGCATCTTTACATGTTTTTATTATGCTAGACATAATTTTTTTCTGTGCAAAACAAAACACATTCATTTGGAAAATAAAAAATGATTGTGAAATCACAGAATAATGAAGCCAAGGAAACCTCATTTAATTCTTCTACACCTGTAACAAATGTTGATATTGTACTGAGACTGAAACCAATTCTGATGGCAGTGACTGCTGCGTTACTCTTAAATAAGTGCATCCAACTCTGACACAGAACAGATGTGACATCACACAGCCTAACAGTACACAACGCAGGTGTCAGGTCAATCAACAGTTGCTGAGTTTGGTCTAACGGGGGCTAGGATGGGGCTCTGTAGTGACCTTACTAATTGGAGAAGCAATTTGATTAGCTACCATCAGTGTATCAGAGATGTGTTGTTTAAAAACCATAGCTATAAATCAGTAACATGTGTGTACATGGAATCAGAAGACAACGACCCCTACCTTTCTGTGATTTGAGGACAGGACCAAACCTCTATTCATTCGTCTGTGTATCCCCCAGCATAGCCTTGGCCCTGGCACATAACACTTACTCAATAAACATGTGCTGCAGGATATTAAAGGCCTGGGTTCAAATTCCTATTCATTGCCTGGAGAATCCTATGCACATCTCTGGATTCCAGCCCTGTCTCTCTTTCAGCTCTTAGTCCTTAGCTCCATCTTCTCTTCCCAACTTGACCCATCAGGCAGCTGCCTCCTGGACATTGCCTGTCTCTCCACAGCTCAGAGTCACGCATTTTCACCTTGATTCACTATCTTCTCTTCCCAAACTTGCTCTTTTCTCCTCCAACCCCTAGCTTCACTCAGGTCATTCCCGTCTGGGTGACCAAGTGACAAACCCAAAGCTTCTTGACACTCCTGCATTGGTGAAACTTCACTGTCACTAGCTCACTAATGTCTGTATTTGCATCTCAGCTCCTACAGCTGCTGTTAGTTCAGATCCTCACTGACTCTTACCTGGGTCAGTAAATTAACCTCTGAATTAATCTTCTGCCTGCCATCTTCCTGTTGCCAAACATTTGACATGATCTTAACCAAATACAGATATCTTACTGCTAGTGCTTTGCTTTCTTACAAAGAATCCAATTTCTTATATAACCCTGGGGGCTTGGCACAATCTGACTACAACTTCCCTTTCTGGTCTCACCCTAAACAAACGTAGTCTGCTCTTCCCATAGGCTAGAAAATCCCTGGCATCTTATCGATGGTGCTCTCAACCAGGAGGAGTTCCAGCTCCAACATGAAGTTTCAGCTCCAACATGACCCGTGAGAACCTTTGTGGAACTTCCAGGGCATGAACCTTGTTCCCACAGCATTTCATCCACACATCTAGTGTAACAATTACCTCTATAGGATCTTGCTATTTGAATACCACGATGATGATGATGATGATGAATGACTGCAGGGCTAAAGACCATGCTTGGCACATGGCAGTTCCTGTGCAAATGCCTGGGCGATAGCAAACACCTGCTTAGGGTGTGATCGGCCTGACATGTGGTTCGACATCTCTCCCCTTTGAAAACAGTCCCATTCTCTGTTTCCTGCACAAACCGGACCCATCCCCTGGGCGCTGATCCTCAAACTTCACTCTGCAGAAGAGTTTCTGCATATTTGTTTTACAGTCAGAGTATTGCTTCCTTGCACAGGATCGATTCAGCAGTGACTAGTGCATCATGCTTGGAGCTTGGGGAATTAGAGCTACTGAGAAAGGCCTGGACAGGGGAAAAGGCCTGTCCAGGGAGAGCATGTGTGGATGCCTAGGATCAGGGAAGAGAACAGAACTCTTCTCTATCCTGAGACTTTTTGTGTGTGTGTGTTGGAAAGTCAGATTTACAAAGAGAAGGAAAGACAGAAAGAAAGATCTTCTGTCCATTGGTTCATTCCCCAAGTAGCTGCAACAGCCAGAGCTGAGCTGATTTGAAGGCAGGAGGCCAGAAGCCAGGTCTCCCACTAGGCTGCATGGTACCAAGGCCTTGGACATCCTCCATTACCCTACTAGGCTGCAAGCAAAGAGCTACCATCCTGGGATTTAAATGAGATACGGCAGAAGGATCCTTCATTTGATTTCACTAAACCTGTACAATGGACCACATTGCCTGGGGACTCATAGAGACAAATTCAAGGTAATTCAGGTCTACTCCACTTTCAAAATCTAGCAGCTAGACGCTCTTCCCACATCATATGACTTTATCTGTCCATAGAGCTTTTCATGCAGTTGCAATTGCCTGCCTCTCTCTATTAGACGGTAAGTTAGGCAAAGGCAGGAATTGCATTTCTTTTCCTTTTCTCCTCATTGAATTTATTTGAAAGGCAGAGAGAGAGAGAGAGGAGATTTTTCACCTGCTGGTTCACGCCCCACCATGCCCACAGAAGCTAAGTCTACACCAGGCAATGATGAGAGCCTGGCACTCCATGTGGGTCTCCACAGGTGGGTGGCAGGGGCCCATGTACTTGAGCCATGCCCTGCTGGCTCCCAGGGTGCACATTAGCAGGGAGCTGGAATTGGGAGCTGAGCTAGGACTCCAACACAGGCATTGGGATATGGGAGGAGAGGAGGGCTTCAGATCTCAAATAGTGTCACAACTTACACCAAGCACCTGCTCCCAAGGGCTTTTGTGTCTTCGCCCCAGTCTCCTCAGAGGTTAGTTTATTGTCTGTCTCCCATAAGATGGTTCAGAAATTCTTGCTTCATCGATTGGAATGAAACAGTCCTCCATTTACCCCCTGGTTCTGGGAGTTCTGGGTTCATTGGCAGGGCAGGGTAGAACAAGGCAGGGCAGGCATGACTAGCTCTTTTCTATGCCAGCTTCTATGCCACACTCTGGCGTGCAGGTGCTGCAGAAGCAGGGAATCCACGGAGAACCCCTGCAGACTGTTGAGAAAAGCGAGAAGGAGAGGTGTTCGTAGGAGGGAGCGCCCCAGGGTGAGGAAGACTGGGAGGACCGAAGCTCAGGGCCCTATTTGCATGAAACATTACAAGAAAACTGAGGGTGAAATTCCGTGGTTGGCCTTTAGACTCCGACTTGGGCGGGGTTTGGCGGGGGGGGGGGGTTGGGAGGGGGAGTGCAGGACAGGGGTGGCTGTGACGGAGGGGAATCCAGCTCCAATGCTGTCCCCTGCACTCTTGGGCAACAGGTGCAGTGAAAGTGTGGTGGTCTCCCTCCAAGCGGAGATGCCGTGTCAGGGGCGGGTGCTGGGCGCCCTTTGCTGCCCACCGGGGTCAGTCCTTCTCATCCCATGGGAAGAGCCTCCCGCAACTCCTCTGTCACCCGGCTCCAGCAGTGTTTGCAGAGCAGGGTGGGGTCCCGTTGAGTGTGCAGTAACCAGCAGGGATGAGTAAGGCTTGGCCAGGAGCAGATGCAGCCAAGCAGGAGCGCGCCAAGTTCGGAGGCGCCGCTCAACCGGCCCGGAGCATTTGAGGTCGCACCCGTGAACTGGGAGACGCCCCAAGGGCGGATAAAACCCGCAGAGCTGCGCTGGGATTGCTTTTTGCGCTTGGTGCCTGCAACGCTCCTGACCCAGGGCGGCAGCTCGGTGGGCCGTCGGGGCGGGCAGGTGGGCACCAACAGCAGCTTCTACGCCCCAGCCTGGGGTTACGCGGACCACCCTAAGTGCCGGGTCGAACGCTGGCAGAGTGCCCGGCCCTTCTCGGGGACAGTCAGCTGCAGGCGGGCTAGGGCTAGTGGGGTCACGCCAGACAGGCGGTCAGAAGTATGGCTGCAGCGGCGACAGCATGCGAACCGGTGACCAGGCCAAGCCTGACGTCCATCTCGTCGGGGGAACTGCGCAGTCTGTGGACGTGCGACTGCGAGCTGGCCCTGCTACCTCTGGAGCAGCTGCTGCGCCTGCAACCCGGAGCCTTCCAGCTACGCAGCGACCAACTCACCGTGCCGGGACCCGAGGAGCCCGCAGCCACGCGCGGGGGCTTCAACGTCTTTGGCGATGGCTTCGTGCGCCACGACGGGCAGCTCTACCGCCTCAGCAGTTACGTCAAGAGGTGAGTGGCCTCTCCCCGCGCCCTAGTCTGCCACTTGCTCCCAGGAGACCCTCTGCTTGCCACACGATCATCCCCTAGATTTCTCTCATTGCTGAAATCAAGGCCTGCATGCTCACTCTGCCCTTGGCACTGCCGTGCTGCAGCTGCCTTTGAATCAGCTCAGAAGAGCTTCTGCAGGGCGCGTGGGAGCGGACAGGGTCCCGAGGGCCCTGCGCACTCACAGGGCCTCCACCCGAAGCGTGTAACCCGTGGGCGCTTTTTCCATCCTGGTTCCCTAAGTGGATGAGATGAGCTCAAGTCTGGATCACGCCCTTTAGGGAGTGTTTGCAGCTCCTCGGAGAGACTCACACCCTTGGCTTTAAGATTTGGGTCGTATGGGGCAGAGGTAGGCCAAAGAGGGAGTGTGCACAGTTGTGAAGTAGCTATCGTCCTCTGGCAAGGGAAACTTCTTGTGGGGTGGGCAGCGTTTTCTATCTTTGAGCCTGGTGTGCAGGCTCTGTACCCTTGGGAGCAGCGAGGAGCTTTTGGCAATTACCCAGTCAATAGAAGAGCAAGCATCCCTTTCCCAGGGGACGTCCTGAGGCAGGGGAGGGGTACTTTCATACCGAGGTGTGCATTCCTAAAGGATGACAGGGAGGGAACCCTCCACAAAGAGGCAGGGAGGACAGTGTGTGGCTGTGAAGGCAGTGAGAGGTGTTGCCTTCATCAGGCTGGAGATTGACAGTGCAAGAACTGCGAGTTCAGACTCAGTTCTGCCCAAGGTGGCCAGCTGACTTTGTCCTTGTGGAAGCTCAGGACTCATGCCCTCAACATGTTGTTCAGAGCAGTGATTTTTCTTATTTTCTTCCTTCTTTCTTTCTTCCCTCCCTCCCTCCCTCCCTCCCTCCCTTCCTCCCTTCCTCCCTCCTTTCCTTCCTCCCTCCCTCCTTTGCTTCCTTCCTTCCTTCCTTCCTTCCACTCCCTTCCTCCTTCCCTCCCTTTGATCCTCTCTCTCTCCCCCAATCCCTCCCCTTCCCTCTCTTCCATCGTTCCTTTCTCCTTCTTTTTCCATTTTCTTGTTATTAACAAGCTCTGGCCAATTTTATTGAAGCAAATTTTGCCTGACTTACTTATCGTTCATCTGTTCTGTTCCGCTTTATACACATCTCAGGATCACCCAGATCAGTAACTGGCAAGTGCACACCCTGAAATACTTGCTACCTGCTGTACCCAGTTCACCTGTGGGATGCCAGCCGCAGCTGGCCTTGACTGTCATCTTCAGAGATGGCCTGTCCATCAGCTAGCACTTTCTGCCTGTCACCATGGGTTGGAACCCAGGTTTGATGGACTCATGCAACCATTTCATCTTTGTAGCCACCGCATTCTTGCCTTTGGAGTGGGACACTTTAAATCAAGCACAGACACCAACATGGCCAGGGATCGAGAAAGACATTTTTCAAGCATCAGGATCCCAGAACTTTTGAAACTCGTAGGTAGAACTTCCATAAACTTTAAAAAGTTTACAGAAATGTGTATTATGAAAATGTGTATATCAATATAAAAGTTTTTGTACCAAAATATACTGATGTGTTTTGAACATTCTGAGTGAGAAAAGTGGCAAGCAAAGGAATTCCTAGCCCTGAGTTAACTTTCCAAATGCTTGCAACTGCCCTAGGCTAATGGCTGAATCCAGGAGTCAGGAACTCCAACTAGGTCTTCTATGTGTGGCAAGAACCCAACCACTTGAGCTGTCACCACTGCCTTCCAGGATATTCATGAATAGGAAGTTGGAGTCAGGACTGGAACCAAGCATTTGGATATGGGATGCAGTTATGCCAGCTGGTGGTACCACTGCCTGGCCAAATGTCTGCCCCAAGCTGATCTTTTAATTCCATTTGTTTATCAAATTCTGGAGTCTTCTCCTGTATACCTGATGTTGTCAAGCACTCAGGCAGTTTGTGGGATTCCCCAGTCAGGTTAAGAATCCTTGCTCTGTTCATTCATGTGGATTTTTAAATTCAGTGTGTGTTTTGGGTATGGAGTAGGATTACTTTTCAGGGCCTCAACACCATATGCTGCTGCCTTCAAAAGGCCCTTTCCCAGGGAATCCTGAGAGACCGAAGAGCCATTGCCCTTGATGGTCAGGTGATCACTACTCAGAGAGCTAGCGGGTGATTCCAGTGGCTCTGTTTGGGTTCTCGTTTGGATCCTTGAACAGTATTCCAAAGTTCTACCTTCTAAATAAAACGAAGCAGCCCGTGAGTGATGAGATAATGTAGTGGCATCCGCCATGGGATTTGAAGCTCCTTCAAGAGCTGATTTTAAAAATATTTGTCCTACTTTAAAAGATTTACAGTAAGAGCTTTGCTGCCATTTTTCTCTCTCAAGCTCACGATTTTTATCCGCCTTACAAACAAAATCTCTTCAGGACATTAGGTGTCTGTCATCACTGCTCAAGAACTTTATTAATCATTCCATTTTTAAATGCTCTGGTCACCATTAATTATCACAAACACAGCCCATGTCTTTTTTTTTTTTTTCTATAATGTGACTTCTTAGTGAAATGCAATGGCACATGTTTCACAAAGAGAGCCTTTTGTGGCTTCTTTCACTGGTCTCATCGCATGAGAGAGGCTGCCTGGTGATGAATCTAAGAACAACAGTAATAGCAACGGTGGCTTCTAATAGTGACATGAGTGCTGGGAAGGGTGCAAAGCTTTTCACAGATACCATCTGCCAGAAACCAAGTCAGACCCCTTACTCTTTTCCTGTTTTTACAGATAGAAAAGTTGGGACTTGAGGGGAGGATTATTTAGTAATTCACCCAGATGTGCTGCTGGTGAACCATATAACTCTGAGGGCTTCTAAACAGCCCCGCTGGCTTTCACTAACCTGCCGACCCTGAAACTATTCTGATACACTCTAGACAGCAGCAGCTTTCTTGCAAACTTCCAGAATCTACAAAGAAATGACTAGAAATCTACAAGCCACTGAACATTTTGTATAAAGTCAGCCTAAAAGGGGTGGTGAGACTGTGGCTCGAAGGAAGTTGCTGGAAGCAGACATGTGTCTGCACCTGCTGTTGGGTAGATGGGGACAGTCATACCCCACCTTGATGGAGGAAATGTAATATAGAAAAAGTGTGGATGACCATGGGTGTCAGGTTCAGCTCTTTACCACCTAACTCATTTAGGGAAGTGTGGCTCGGTTTCCTTAGATGCAAAACGGCAATAATAATAATAGAAATCTTCCAGGGATATATGATTCAGAATTGAAATCTGTAAAGACTTTACAAACAGTGATTGGCACTTAATTGACTGCTTGACGGATGCTAGCTCTCATAGATGGCATTATGATTAAGTAGCCGACAAGCCAAATGCCAAATACGTTATTTAATCTGTTAACCACAGTATGATTTTGTCAGCCAGATTTTACAAGTGAGGAAGATGAATTTCAGCAAGGCCACAAAATACTTTCCGGGGTAACAGACACAGACCTGATACTCAGAGCTGATCGCTGGCCATGGGCCACCCTGCTGTTTCCCTGGTTTCCTGCCTTGGGAACCTTGCCTGGACTCTGGCCTACTTCCTTCTCTACATTCACCTGAGCCCCAGGAAATGCCTGCCTGTCTGCATAGAGACAGCTACCTACAGTCCTCCAGAATTGGATGAGCGAAGGGTCCTCCTGGGGTTCCCCTTGCCTTATTGTTGACTATTCCTTGCTGGTGGCTTGCCTTGATACAGTAGTCACTCTTGTAGCACCTGCCTCACCCCAAGAAGTGGCTCTAACTCCAGGTTCCTCTCTGCTTGCTCTGCTTTATTGAAATGATGAATACAGAAACAAAATAATATGTTCAAACAAAAAAAAATCATAAGTAAAATGAAGAGTAAGTTTCAGCCTGGCTATTAAGGCTTTTATATCCTACATGAGAGTTTCTGGGTTTGTTCCTGCAGCTGCTAACTCCAGCTTCCTGCTGGTGCAGATACTGGGAGGTAATTGGATTCCTGATATACATGTGGGAAGCCTGGATTTCATTCCCTGCTGCTAGCTCTGGCTCTGGGGATAGAGGCTCTCTCTCTCTATATATATATATAGATAGATATAGATATAGATATAGATATAGATATAGATATAGATATAGATATATACTTTCTCTGCCTCCAAAATCAAGTATTTAAATTACTATTTCCATGACTAGGGCATAACCCTATGAAGCTTGGGCATATGAATACCAAAACAAAGCAAAGCAAAAAGCCACCATGTGCTTCTCTGGTGTTTGATTTTCCAGTTTGTCTGTTAAAGGCAGCAGAGTGTGCCCAAAGCAGTTTCTGAAACTTTAAGTGTGCACGAGTCTCCTTGGATTTCTCTGAAATGTAGAGCCTGACCGAGAGAAACTTGGAAGGGGTTGGTGTTCTGCCAGCGGCCAGCTCCCAGACAAAGCCCATGCTACTGCCAGCATACATCATTTTGTATTGAAATGGTCAGTCTTCTTGTCTGTTCTCCATTTGGGGGTCTGGATGTCATGGAAGCACAATAATATTTCCTTTCTCATTTGGTGTCTCTGGGGCCAGCACATGGTAGGTGCTTCGTAACTGTTTATGATGTGTGTGCAAGCAGGTCCTTCTCTGCCCCATCCCAATGTTCCTCACACCACACATCAGGAGTGGACTGGGTATTCTTAATTCAAGTCATAGACTAGAGTGCCGAGTCTGAAACTTCAGCTTAAACTCTCTCTCGAGATGGGCAGAAGGAGGAGGAGCAGAGACATGGGGAGCACAGCAGGGATGTTGTGTTGAGTAGAATGTCCCTGCCGCCTTTACTCAGTGTCCCTGCCGAAGTCATGAGTGCTGTGCACCGAGTCTGGACCTCCCACACAAAGCCTACGGCAACGTGTTCTTAGTTTCTCCTCTCTTCTGTATTTTGTCAACTTGTTTTACCTTCATCTTAAACTATAGTAAAATGCACATTACAGAAAGTTGAGTGCCTTAACCTTGTTCGAGTGCTCAGGTTGGCGGCTCCAT